AGGGCCCAGTCGATTTTGGTGACCTTCACTTAATTTTCAAGGTCACAACGCGATTTGAAGATTTCAGCATGTTAACCTGAATTGTCAGCAAGATATTTCAAGAACGGTTCACTGGATTTTCTTCAGACTTTCATGACTTCCCTTAAATGTTTTTCAATAAGCATAAGTTTGATTTGATAATTTGCGGCGGGGGATTATGTCACCTTAGTGACAATGCTTGTTCTAATTCAATATTGTGCATTTTAAAAGAACAATAACCAATTAATGTTCTTGATGAGCATAGTTATGTATTATATACACTGAAAGTATATGCTTATTAATTCATATTGTCAGTGAGTGTGCTCTCGACGTGGGCTAACATTTTGAAAACTTATTGTTTTACTGAGAAGGTATCGTAATTCATATTCATTCAAAGAATATCGTACCAACCGCTGATATAAAAGTGGAATATTTATTTGAATTTGGCAAATTATCATTAGCGGCTAAATGTGATGTAAATTCTGCCTAGGAACTATGTACAAACGTACTGTTGTAGGTCCCCATGATCCATGCTATGTAACGAACCATATAACGTTATGGATAACAGTGTTTTGTTTATAGTATGGAGCCACTTTTCGATGCAGAGTCTTACTCCGTTATTACGCTAAAAATCTCTTGGTGCAAAGTCTTATGCTTACCTTGTATGTACTCACCAACCCCTAGAATAATGATCAAAGGATTCATCCCTTTTATTTTGACCTACCTTTGGTAATTTGTTGTTTTGCATTGTGCTACGTGTTGTGGTTAAATACATCAAACATATATACTATAGTTTAACGTTTTATACTGACGATATGATGTAAATACAGCCGATATGACTTTAGTTCTTCTCTCCCTGAAAGCATGGTCAGAACAGCGTCTAATTGTCTCCAACAATACGATATGTGGATGAATATCTGCATTTGTCATTAAAGCAAATATAACAGGTTTGTTCCAGGCAAAACACTATACAACTGTCTTAGTTTAGATGTCCGTTACCCAAATTAATCAAACATACTGTTTGACAAGCACTCAGGGATTGTGCTTCTTCATCGAATCCCTAATTAGATATACGACAGATGTACTCTTGGTTACCACCCTCTGTACACTCCGGATGAATGGGTGGCTGCTTCCAATCTATACAGGACACTTGAGGGATTGGCGAACGGATATTGTATTTGAACAAGCATTTTGTTTTCTTTTTAATGTGTCTATGGTAATATAACATTCTGAATAATTTACGTTTCTCAGTGTAATTTATTTATATTTGAATTTGAATTGTTTGCATGATAGTATATTCTTTTGCCAAGTTCTTTCCTGATTCATTGAAAGATAAATTGTTATTGTTATCACATATACATACCCATTACTGTTGCTAATTTACTCTAGTATTCCATGCGGCTCGCCTGTTATCCTTGCCACAGACGAGCGCCATGTAAAGATTCGTCATACTTGGATGGAGAGTTAGCTGTAAATACACACATTAATGAAGCACCATTGACTTTCATATCCGTAGAAAATACAATCACGAATTGTAAATGCTTTGAAAACCAAATTCCTCATATTAAGATCATAACTGTAACATATTTTCCACTGATTAAACAAAAACAACTTAAATTTAGAAACACTTTCCTTGCAATCTGAGAGTTCAAAACAGGACTATCAATAATAATGTAGCCTTCCCTCGCACGAATAACATCTGCAAGTCTACTGGTCAAGCGTCGAATTCGCAGCATCGCATCTTCTGCCGTTCCTCGTGGAGCGTCTGTGTCAGTTCCTTCAGATTTTGAACAGAAGGAATTCTCGCTCCAGTTTGGCGTCAAAGATAGTCCCAAAGATGTCCGGTTCATATCGGGGTTCATACACCAACTATAAAGAATGGCCATAGGAATTACGACTGTTTCGGTTGATTTGCATTAGCATAGTTGACAATTACAATCAGCTGCTGCCAACAGCCCATCTCCTATCTTGAGCGGTATCCTCCCAAAACTTCCACATCCCAAAAACTTCCACAGCTTATAACAACAACAGCTCTGGTTGACTGCACACACTTCAGCATACTGCATTACCCCAGTCTGTAATGGTTTAACCCATTAATCAGTAATGAATACAAACTGTCACTTAGTAATAAATTATATATTTTATTAAGTCAGGGTTAGCAACAAAAATCCATATCTTTTCTAGTTACATATAAGAAGAAGTTTATTCATATTCAAGGCCTCGTGGGCAAAAGTACAAAAGTGTATATACATAATTTCAGTGCGCATGGACATCGAAGTGATTATTTACATGTAATAGAAATTAAATTGGTAGATTTCGTTTCAAAAAGAGTGCAAGATTTTTTAAGCATTCTAGATTTTGCGAAGACATTAACAAATTAAACTTTTCAAGTGTGGGATAGGTATAAAAATAACTTGGTAACAACAGTTTCCTGTTTTCATCATAGTATGGGCAGACCAATAAAAAGTAAAATTCATCTTGAATGACATTATAATTACATTTTGTACGCTTCAGTAATTCAGTATTTACATTTTTATCATTATCGATATTGCTGTACATTAAGTTTATGGCTCATGCATCTAAACATTTGTGGTACTTACGTGAAGCAAAGGTTCAGGATGAAATATAATTGCCATTGTCTTGTCATAAATTGTCCAGAAATATTCAAAGTTTTCACAGGTCTTTGTCGATTTCGTCTACGTGGTGAAAAGCAACCGATGTGACCACGCCAGCTCATAAGTGAGTCTCCCATTTCTCACGTGCAACTATCGGTGATAGGCAACTGTGACAGCTATTGACAACTATCAATGTGACACCACTTGAAATGTGCTTCGTTTCAAACGTCTTCAAAATACATTCGATCTGTGATATTTCGGTTCAATACTACTTACTAGAGCATTTCTGGTAACACTTGTTCATCAGTACATTGTTAAAAAGCAGTTTTGAAACCAAAAAGGCTCACTTTCTTCAGCTCGATGTGAACACGTCAAAGTGTCTCTTTTGACGCATGCGCACCACCCTAGTTACATATAACAGCCTATGTAGCACATCTATATGAAACTTATGTCCTATAGTGTCCAAGATTTCACCCGCACATTTGACAGTCATAACCCTGTCACTCTGTACTGTTGTTGGAGCATTATATACTGTCGCAGTGTCACTGCCGTAACATACAGTCTTTACCTGTTTTATACATGGCAGGGACATCCATATGTAAATCTTTTGCCTATTACATATTCTTTAAACATATATCTGATTGACAAATTTCATTAAATTATCTTTTAAAGTAAACATATAAAACTGGCTATTGTTACAAATGTCACTACCGTTACTGTGTCACTACCATAACATTGAATGCCGATGTCCATACCATAACATTATCAATTTCCTTATTTAATTAAAATTGATTTATGTGTTTATGCCTGGATTTGGTAGTGCAAGTATGTTTGGTAGTAGAGCCTCAAGTAAGCATAACAAATTCATGTTCTCATTTGGAATTTTTCGGTACATATTACTTCATATTTGCAAATCAGAATTGAAAGGAATTGTTTGGCTTGTTGGCCCCTTTTAAGCAATAAATATAAACTCATTATATTGTAAAACTACATATTTTGACATACATGTACATCAAATGCACATTACGCTTGCATAATTTATGTTTTGCATATTCAGAATTTGATGAACGTAATCAACACATTTCAAGTTAAAACAAGAAAACAATATTTACAATTTTTGCCTACATGAAATATGCACAAATATATATTATATATATTTCAGATTTATTAACTAACTGCTGTCTTCTCTACAAAAATCTCCTCTCTGCTAAGTCAGGTGTGATGTATCATTACCTGTTGTTTCAGTTCAGTGCACTTCCTGGGCTATCCTATTACCTAAAAAGGGTGGACGAGGAGTAGTTGTGTAAACAATGTGTGGTAGTATTGGGATGTGGTAGTTTTGGGATATAACCATCTGGAGCAATAATGCATATTTTTACTTAATTACTTGGCATGTAAATAAATCAGAAAGGATTCACGACAAAGGCGACAAATGAGAAACACCACCAACAAAAATCCCCAACAAAATAGCGTTAGAAGCATGGGCCATATCAGGACGCTGTGTTTTAATTTTACATCGCGTCGGTAAAGGTCATAGCGACTACACAGAAATACAAGTATGTAAAGAAATCATATACTGTATGGTGCTATCGTTATCTCCCAATTGACAGACACCCAATAAACAGACACTGAACTAGAAGGTTAATTAGGGTAACACCTACGGGTATAATGGAACAATCCACTGTCTAGTGAGTAGAGAAGGGTGAGCCTGAAACAGGTTCGTTACTGAGAAGTTTGATTGTGGGTAAATAGAACTTTGTTGTAATTAAATAATAAATGATTTCTCTTCTCAAAATTGATGTTACTATCAATTACTATCGAATATAAAAGCAGCTTTGTAACTGAGAGGTTTGATTGTGTTATTGATAGAAAAGACCCGTCCCAATAATAGCATATGTACAACAGAAGTTAACTGAGAAAACGTTTTGTTATTCAAAATAAATCGTAATTAAGTGCACTCGTCATATATCTTAATATTATAAAACATATAACTTCTTTATTCCATATGAATAATATTTAGGTTCACATTTGTCTTTATTTGATTTATATGATACAACAGTATCGCAATTTCTAATAGCTAAGCTAATGTTTTCAATATGATGATGCCGACTCCCGTTAGACTAGAAGGTTAAACCGAAATGTTTATGAAAATAAACTGTTTTTATATTGCAGCAATAAAAATTCAAATTACTGTCTTTTCGTCCATCTTTCAAAATAAATAATATAGCTTCAGTTTGTTCCTGTGTTTTTATTTGGACTATTCCATTATAATGTGTAGGTAACAGGTAGTAGATAATCTGTTCACTGAACCGTAAATGTTGTTGTTTTAAGGCGTCTGCGAACTGGCTGTCTGCGTAATGGGAGGACACCTGTGCTATACCTACGTAAGGCACTACAATAGCTTTAAACGGTTTATTTGAAGTATCGATTATTTATGTCAGTTCCCAAACACGGGAGTTCCCGATACTTTTTTGAGACGTGGTTACAAATATTGTGAGGTGGTTAACTGACGCGAACTTATGGGCAATCACTTCTGAGAAAGTAGTTGCTATGCTATGTAACAGTTGTTTAGTCACAGTGTTTGTTTCCATGTGTAAACAGTACGTCTTTGTTCTCAAATGGTGAAATCATATACGCTGATGCCTTTGTGCCATTTCAGGAAACGGATAATAAATTAGCTTCAAGTGAATAAACGTGAAGTCAAAAATGGAATCAAGGTGAGTTTTTCAATCAGGACGTTTATCACAATAGTATGATAATGTCTCCCACTTCTGTATCGTTCAGGTTTCAGACAAGGTCTGTACTTTGGTATGATGCATTAAATGCATTCAAGAACCCTGACCGCCTCTTTCAAGTATATACATCTAAAGTTTATCTGCCCTACAGGCACATGGGCCGCCAAATATATGTCTCAGATATCAAGCTTATAGAATCCACGAATGACTTTATGCTTTGGAAACTGTAGAAATCAATACCTTGTGGATTTTTCAAAATATGCTTCTCACACTTTGATAAGGATCACAAAAATTCACAACTTTACTTAAACGTAGATTTATAATTTGAAATTGTATCTATTTAAAACTGGATAAATAATAATATGGTAACCCTTCTTTAGGCAGACAGACACTTTATTCTAACCTTATGCACTTGATACATGAGTAACCATAAAAGTGGTTTTCATGGCACCAGTCGACCATCTTGCAAATCATAGAACGAGTCACTGACAAATAAACAACACCTGTCAATAGCAGGTATGGGATCCACAAGATGCAATGACAAACTGAAACCTAGGAACCATGCTTACAATAAGCTTAGATATTTAAACCAAATTTGACCCGACATAATTGTTTTCTGTTGAATCCATGATTTGATCCTTAGCAAAGTGTGAATAGTATTAAACATGATGTGCACGTATCTATGAAATCTCAGAAAAGAACCAAATATAATTATAAAAATCTATAATAGCGGGAAACCATTTTCATACTTATAATAAATCTGCTAAAATCTGAATCCGTTTTATGATTCTGACGATATCATAGGTATGTTTTTATGAATCATTATCATGTAGCGCACGACATACATTAAACTGATTTATCAACATTGTACACCACTATCTCACACGATAAACTAAAGGTAAGTCAATCCTTTATTCATTTGTCAGTGAACATGATGACATACATGTGGATATGGGGATAGTATATTTAGGAAAGAAACAGGAATCCCAAATGGCTTAGATAGTAATCTCCTCCTCGCTTATCTGGGTCCTTACGGATCTGAATAAGAAATCAAAACACGAGAATATAGCCCAAACACATAGCTACACCTTCAGATGTATCGATGATGTGATATCTTTCAATAATGGTCAACTGGAAAATATCTTTTTTTTTTACCCGCCTGATCAAGATAATATGAAACAAACCACACCAAAAGACATATCCTTTTGGAACAATACCCCAGCGGATCCAGCCTTTGGTATATAAATTTCAGGTCATTTTGAGTACATTCGGGCATGCACACTTTTCGACGATCCCCAAAAGCCGTATATGGCATAAAGATGTTTGATCAGGGTTACAACATTCGAACCCTAATGTAAAGATTGTGACAGATTTGGTAACGAAAGACAGATATCTGACCCCATACATGAAAAATTCTCATGCGTACGTAGATTCTCGCAAGCAATACCCTCAACTCTATTGTTGTCGTATGAAGAGCATAGATAAGTCCAGGGCCTAGATTTTCGAAGCTCTCTTAGCGCCAGGATAGTCGTAAGTGCCATACATTAACATTAACTTACGACTATCTTAGCGCTAAGAGAGCTTCGAAAATCTAGGCCCAGGTGTTCAGGCTTTACACCTAGGTTGACTGTCATCGGGCATTGCGACATGGCTGTATACTCCCCAGGGAGTTGTAAGAGTATCGGAAAGTATGATAGTGTCCCATGATAGTAATGTACGTAGCGCCGTGAGCAGGCAGCCTGGATATGAGCGCCATATAAGCGGACTATTACTATTATTACTATTACTATTACGCTGACTACTTGGGTGTTGATTACGTCTGTAAAGGCTTACCTGCAAGCCAAAACTTAGCATTACCCAATACTTATACTGATTTTATCATAAACACATGTTTAAAGTACACTCAGAAACATGGTACAGGCTGTGTGTGATTATGGGAAGGTTTGTGTTGTTTTTATTAATATATCATTTTTATGATTTTCTGCAGGGACGAGACCATCTCCAAGACAAATCGTATCATCTACGCGGTGATATTGTGTGGCACATCCTGCGTTACGGTAATTCATTCATTCATTCAGTGCATAAATAATCAAACTTGACGTTCATAATTATGACTACTGAAATACGATTTTATCACTAGGTCAATTTTCATAGTTTAATGGGGTCCCAGAGAACAAGGTAAGGTGCTGTTATGTCAGGTCACAGCTTTGACTGTACCCGAAACGCATCATCAGCATCGGATGCAAAAGCGCTGACGGAAATGGTCAAGTCAAGTCAAGTGTTTATTTCCAGTATGAAGGCCTCAGGCCCATATACAATGCAAAATATATACAGTTTTATATAAAATAGATACATTGCAATATTGCCTTAGTTTGCAAAACATAACATTATGGGTATACATATGTCATATATATTATGGTGAACAAATATTGTATGTGTGATATCTATCATCTCAGGTATTACATGTACTCTCTCTTAATTTATAGGGGCGGTGGGGTAGCCTAATTGTTAAAGCGTTGGCTCGTCACGCCGAAGACCCGGGTTCGAATCCCCACATGGGTACAATGTGTGAAGCTCATTTCTGGTGTCCCCCGCCGTGATGTTGCTGAAATATTGCTAAAAGCGGCGAAAAACCAAACTCAGTCAGTCAGTCAGCTTAATTTATATGCATGCCATAAAAATTTACTTAGTACATTTTCCGTTGATAGAATTGATCTAAATTTAAACATGTTCGGATTTTGATTTGATTTTATATTTATATACATATACAAACAAATAAAAAATGGTACTCGTCTTCACTCCCTAAATTACAATATGGACATAAACGCATAAACGTAACCAGACGCATTCGTGTTATAGAATAAAGGTTAGTTTTTGCTGGTTAAAGGTCACGCTTGATTCTCGTCACACCGCCAGGACATGTCACAATCCTGCACACTAAATGTATGGACTATTTCTCATGTTATTTTCAAACACCTACTACAATCAGCAGCTGGCGATAACTTCATATTTGTTCCACAGTTGATCTATGGCTATGCCAATTTCACCTTGTAGGGTTCTGCGAGCAGTTTGATCGGCCTCTCCCTACCTGACATCCAGTGTTTGCTGGGCATCGACCTCAAGGTAGCTAGCTCCCTCCTGTTTGCCTATGGCCTAGGCATGTGCTGCAGCAGCCTTACAGGGCACTTCATCAGAGACAATGTAGATACCACTTTGTGCATGGTGGCCACGTTGGTGTTGAACGCTGTGGCTATTGCTGCAATACCAATATCTCCGTTTGTGTGGCTCACCTTCACCCTGGTCCTCATAGCTGGATGGTGTACAGGGATATGTAGATTTGGTAAGTTATCTAATCATTATTCCTGAAGACAACATTCTTAAAATGGCTTTATCGTGACAATCCAGTCGAACTAAAATCAAACTGCAGTACATGTATGTATATAGTTAGGCGATCAAGGTAAACATTGTGCACATACATGTTACCATGACTTTGATTTCTATCAAAAACTGTAGAATTCCTCCGATGCTATAAATTGGTGACAAGCTGAGATCCGTTGCTCCTACTCACCTGTCCTAGATGCGCAGATCATGATAAATGGTTAGAAAGCATCATACTCGCATATGTGATAAATGCCCACTGCGATGTTGATAATGTATAATTCTACCTGCAAAATTGCACGCCAATTTGCTAAAGATCGTTTGAAGTTGAGAGCCATATATGGAATGCTCGACGTCTCCTCGAACAGCATCTATATGTTTGGGTACAGAACATTTAGTCAAGAAGAAGTAATCCCGATTCAGCTGATGACGGATTAAGGATATACTCCGAAACGTTGTGTTGCTCATAATTAAGAAGTTGACATCCATACATTTCTTTCCTTCGTTATCCCCTGACCACAAACTTTGACCCGTTCCTCGATGATCTTAAGGCTTCACTTAAACTTCAGATATAGCGGCGATCTGATATATACACATGGAAAAAGTATCGCAACTTCTATGATTTTAACCCCCTATAGCCATATATATTCATTTATAATTGTTCAATACTGGTGTGGGTGTGCCTCTTACGTGACCTTAAACTTGACCTTGTCATGATCTGAATGGACAGCGGTACTTCACAGACATCCTACACGCGGTTGTTGTACCATCTCTTGAGCACAAGAACAGTCTTCATGTTTCACAGTCTTTGGTGTCTACTTTTCACAGCTCTAATGTTGCATACAAACATGGTCTCTGAACAAATATTGTAAAAAATCTTATACTAATCTTGCCCCAAAGTCGTTCAACAATGGTAAACAAACAAGACCTTAGTTTATGGTAAACACGTGTAGTCATTTACAAATTTGCAGGTGTCAGTGAGCAACATTATGTCTGAAACAAATCCCTTTTTGGGCTTGTACCATATATTTCCGTGTATACACATATGCTTTGGCGTATTAGCGTATCATATATATTATCACCATCATCTTCTTCTTTTTCTTCATTTTCATTATTATTATTTCAGTGCGCATATTACAGTGTAACATCGTATGGCCCACCAGCTTCTTTGGAGTGTTCTTCGTTGGTACAGGAGCATCAGTCAGTGCGATTATTACCCCTCTTATTGTCAAATACTTCATACAACATCGTCGGTTGCTGCCTGCAGGAGAACCGTCAGGTAATACAACAAGACAGATCGAAGAACAAAGGTGTGATGGGTTTAACTCTAACATACAATACCCCTACATTTTAATATCAGGGTTAGGCCTTCTTCTAGCCATAAGTCTCATGATTAGCTACACTACATACCTGCAGAATGGTGACGTGATGGAAGTAACCCCACGAAACAACAGGAAACCAACTGAACAAAGAAGCCATAGTCTGACGTACATATTTTTGGCCCTGGGTTTAGGATTCACGAGCTCGTCCGGTAAAGTAACGTTTATAGAGCTCTTTGCAACCTATGGAATTCGCAGCCAACTACACCTGAGTGTCGGGGAGATGTCTGTAATGATGTCGGCCTTCTCTAGTGGAATATTCTGCAGCAGACTCTGCAGTGTCTTCCTATCATCCAGGATCAGACTCGAAGTCTTAATGCTGACCTATGTTGTTCTCGTTAATGTTGCGTCTGTTCTGTTCGTACTCTTTAAAGACACAAACATCATCATGCTGTGGACAAACTGTATCATGTATGCTCTAGGAACAGGATCGATGTTTCCGGGGCTGCTGTCCTGGATACAGAAATATTCAGGTAGTTCGAAATCGCCACGACTCTTGAATGCCATTATGTTTTCTAGTTTTGTTGGAGTTTTAGTTCATCCAACATTGTCTTCTGTATTTTTTGGATTGTTTGGACCTGATGCCTTCGTATACGCTGTAACCGGCATGGCTTTTTGTCAACTCTTCATGTTTATTGGACTGTGGTGCATAAGTCATAATAGGAAACACGAAGTCAACATGAATGTAACTCAAGACCCATTGCTTAATGACCAATAGCATTGCTATGGATCAGCAAAGATAGTATAGGAGTTACAAACAAAGGACTGACTGACTGACTGAGTTTAGTTTTACGCCGCTTTTAGCAATATTCCAGCAATATCACGGCGGGGGACACCAGAATACAAACAAAGAAGAAGCACACCCCACATTATATTAACAGGGACAATATTGACGTTAGCACTTACAGCAAATGCCAATTCATTAGGGTATGTTTATTATTATAGCTCCACGTCTACGGGGATAGATAGCCCCGTTGCTATTCTGTTGATAGATACTATTTACATATTTCTTACACAGCTGTATATCATTACGTTATTGTTAGTTGAATTCACACAAAATTGTCAGTAAGGACAAAGGGTATACATGTGTTATATCCTATATGGCTCCTTAAAGACAAACAGACTCCGTACTTATACTGACTGAGCAGATGCGACAAATATCAAGGTGTCGTGTTGCCAAAATACCCAACACGGTAACATTATAACTTGTTCACTGGTTACAGAACACCTCAATGTTAATTTTGAACTGTTTGACGCACGGGTATGAGATCATAATAAGTACCAGAGTAATGTAATTAGCCAATACTGGATTTTCATATGACACAGAATCTAGCAGATGACAAGAAAAACAAATTTAGAGTTATCACCCTTCTATCGCTTTGCATTTGCAAAACATCGGTAATTTCCGTACATCATATGTGACTCAAATATTCGAGATAAAGAATTACTAACACGAAGTACCAAATGAATTCCAACAAATCGGCATTCCCAGCGGGTAACATAGAAAATGTTACTCACTTGTAAGCGGGTTACATTGAAAATGATAGAAGAACGCTCAGCCAGTCAGAAAACGACATTGATGTGTGAGGTAAGATAACAGTGGCTATCTATGGTGAGATCGATATGTCTACTGATTTGATTGATGAACTGATGAAGTGCGACTTGTTCACTGATGCACATGGTGTTTCCCAGCCCCTGAAGTGTCATTCTATTTGGTCATTCTGCCACAGGCCGTTTTTGCAAAATAATGTAACAGCCACGGTGACAATATACAGGTTCCTTTTGTTTACTATAGTAAAGAAAGATTGACAATCATTTTCTCATAGGAGAGCAATAAATGTTTGGATTTTCGGATTTATAAGATATATAGATGGGATATAAATCTGCCTCCATGTCAAGCCAGTGTGAATTGCGTCTGAATCCAGATAAGCATGCTGTACATATACGTGACACATTCTTTACCGTTTATAGTAAATATGGGAATAGATTGACAATATCGTACTTTATTGTAGATCACTTACCTATATCCATTAAGAATTGTGTAAGCATAAATGTAAATAAAACCAAGAGACAACGCTGTACTTCGACTGTTTGTGGTCTGTTAGTTTTACACATATTGTCATACGCGACTAACATCGTAACGTTTCTCAGGCAAGCATGTACATGCATTATGTGATAAACGTAACCAGTACTAATAACATATGTTTTCATCATTGCATTTACATGTAAACAGGGGGAAATTCTACCACATTCTCTCAAAGCACCATTGATTGATGTACTGAATTTAACAGTTAAAAACGATTCAATAGCATTAAATGCTTGATTGGCATTTTAGAAGATGATATTTGATGAACATAGAGATTTTTCTGGGTTACATCTTCTTTTTATTCTCGAGTACAACGTTTCAGGGCTTGTTCTGGCCCCATCACATCACTTGCGAGACGCGCGAAAAAGATTTGTAGCCCTGACCTACTGCAACAAGAAACAGACCACCTGATGACAACATTCATCACATACAATGGTTATCCAAAGAACCTTGGATATATATAAAGAAAACACTACAAGATCAAGTTCAGCCTCCTCCGAAACCTGAACCATCTCCCATCCGCATCAACATCCCGTATGTTGGGCCCATCAGCCACCAAGTCAGCAGACTCCTAAAGAAAATGGCCAGCATTGACACCACTTTCTCGTCTGGCAAAACCCTTAAAACTTTGCTACGTGCAAATGGTAAGGGGTGCAATCACGCTATATCCAACCCTAAAGGCTGTGTGTATAAACTGAAATGTGACTGTGCTGACATCTACATTGGTGAGACAGGCAGACCAGTAGCTACACGTGTGAAAGAACACAAAACTTCAGCGGACAAATCAGATCTGAAATCTGCAGTTTCTGAACACATTGTGAATAATCCCGATCATGAAATTGACTGGGAAACTGAAGTTCTCTCAAAAAACGTCAGTGACTGGCGTAAACGCAAGTTGATTGAAGCTATCTTCATCAAACGCACAAAACCAGCAATAAACAGGGATCAGGGTGTCTACCTCCCAAATGCATGGTACATAAAACAATAAGACAATACCCTACCCTCGTCACTGTTCCCATGTATAAAGAATAAGTTCTATGTATACACTGTTATTACTTTACATTCTATACATTTATAAATACGTCTCTGTACATTTCTAATTCAATCAACAATTTTGTATAAGTATCTGCACAGTTCTAAATTGATCCATTAATTTTGCAGTAAATGACATCTTATATATTCATAATAACATGTATTCTATTAGCCATGTCATCTGTATCTATTGACCACCACATGTATTGCGTCGTCATAGCATTGTGACGTCATAAGCATTGTGATGTCACGGCCAGAGTTAACAGTTACTGTTCAGTTTACCTGATGATGGGGCCAGAACAAGCCCTGAAACGTTGTACTCGAGAATAAAAAGAAGATGCAACCCAGAAAAATCTCTAGATTCAATAGCATATACATAATTTTCTCGACATATTCGATTTTATGAACCTCTAAGAACATATATATATATATATATATATATATATACACACACACACACACACACACACACACACACACACAAAATTCATGCAAAAGTTTTCAAAGCATGTTTCAAAGATAATCTGTTGCTAAAATGTAAGCCCTGGTATTATTGTGTAAGGTGCGCAGGTTGTTTATTAAAACCATTTCTCACCATTGTTAGTATATCAGACCAATAATATAGTTGCAAGTAGCGATATCTCGATCCATGGGCTGTATGTAGTGGACATACTTGTAGTGGTTTGTAGAGAACCGTTAGTGATACAAACCATAGTGAGCAATATGACTCCTTGGCTTCCAGATCATGTATTCTTTTACCTCTTTAGTCGTAGGAGCTACGGGGCTGCAGTTGAATTATAAATCGACAATCATTGTCTACATTACATGCACATACAACATTTTTATCTGATGTCCGAGGTACAGATTTAACCAGACGCAGTGGTACACTATAGTTTTCAGTCACGCATCTCACGATATGGCTGAAATATTGCCGATGTGACTTTAAATCTTAACTCACTCACTCATAGCACTTTGCCGATGTACAGTTATGTGTAACCTACCCCATCGTGCTCAATATCTTACTGAGCATGAAATTAACAGACCACGATTCTAAACAGAATGCGGGGCTATAAAAACAACTCAGGTTGGGGTCTGTATCAAATTCCTCGCAGACAAAAACAAAAACGAGGAATGTTGCACTTATATATGACTCAGCTGGTAGTCTTGAATTCACAGAGAGGTACTCGAAAACATACTAATGGGAATATTATCTGCTTCGTTTTATAAATGTGAGTGGCTGATAGACCAGGTCCTGGCAACCCCAGACCACTAATTCGTTTCACTGTAGAGTTCATTATACACGGCCAGATACCTAACGACTGCATTTCAGCGATTCTCTGTCGTGTCTGAAACGAAAACGTGGCTCTTCCAAAGATTCATTCCATCGAATCCGGATCTGAGTGAGCCAGTGAATGAGTGAGAACATTTGAGTGAGTGAGTACGGTTTTACCCCGCTTTTAGCAATAGTCCAGCAATATCACGTCACGGTACACCAGAAATGGGCTTCACACATTGTGCCCATGTGGGGAATCGAATTCGGGTCTTCGGCGTGACGAGCCAACGCTTTAACCATTAGGCTACCCCACCGCCCCGAGAGTCAAATATGAAGTCACATCGGTAATATATTAACCATATCGTGACTATGAAATCTATATAGTACAAGAAATAAACAAGAAAGGTATTAATATCCGTCAACAAAAATAATTAAAATATTACAAATTTACATTTTTAACTGGCAAGTGGACATACAACGTAATTTCTGTATACGACACGTTATAAAAACGGGCTTTAGATCGCCAGCATATGAAGGTAGATCATCATACTAGGGACCTTGGGGACTTGCAGTACTTGTGTTACCTCTATGGCCTCCAGCTGGATTTACACCATTCCTGCTAGCGATTGTCGCCACATCTAGTCATGACGTACATACCATCTTTGGGGGACAATGATTGTCGTAAGAGGCGACTAACCAGATCGGGTCATGTCATCGTATCCCAACTGTGTACATCGATGCCCATGCTGTTGATCACTGGATTATCTGGTCCAGGCTTGGTTATTTACAGACCGCCGCCATATAGCTGGAATGTTGCTGAGTGCGGCGTAAAACTGAACTCACTTATTCACTTTGGGGGGACAATCATTATCTGGGTATGAAATATACATGAAGGTGTTATTCAACAGTTTATTCAACGACTGTATTTACAAATCAATATAATCACCACAGAGGAATGACAATAGTGGAGAGGCGGTACACATTGAATGGGAGTGATGGGGTGAGTGAGTAAGCAAAAACTTGTACACTGGCATCGGCGATGTGTAAGGTAGTTTAATCATAAAACAAACTACATCAATATCAAAACAAATAATTATTCATCAGATTATTATGAGATAAAAGTAGGCTATACACCAATAGCAAGCAAAGCAAGAGCGTCGTACTGGGAGTCAAGGGAACATACAGTGCTTCTGCTTCCTGCGTGATTTCCCAACATCGTTTACGCCATCACGTTGGTTACTAATGGTTGTGTGTAATGGTACCACAATATTCTCAGATGGTAATAACACCACACATGCTAAAACATACTATTCAAAATGTATAAAATAAGTCTATAACAACACGAATTGTACAAATGAGTACTTGAAATTTGGTCCTTAAAAGTTGCATTATAATGACTATCCCTTGTAAGATAATATTTCCAGTCAAGCCAAACGTGTTTGATTGTGATTTTCTCATCACAAGGGACACAGATTGGAGAAATGTCAATTTACTTCCAAGTGTAAAACATCGTTCACCGTGTCTACAATGACATTACAAATGGATGTAACCTAATTTAGGTTTAAATTCCTTCTTGGTTGTCCCATCGTTTTTGCATTAAACTACGAACATGTTCCTTTTTGGCTTGTTTTAAACCTCTGTAGGGAAAACAACAAGGTGAGAAACTGATTTAGCACGAAATGCTTTATCTGAACATCAGCTCTGGTTTTACACGACACGACCAGATAACCAACAAGGTACCACGCCGTATTGGCCAGTGGCTGGAGTACTGTATCCTTCCAAAGGATCGTTAATCGACACTGTTCTTTAAGAAGGCTTGTCAGCTTCTGCATACAGACCGTCAACAGTGGACCGAAAACTGTTAAATATTGTGATATAAAATGAGGCAACGTGTCTATCAAGCCAAAATCATATGAATCCTTTAAAGTGCCATGCTTCTAGGTTGCATGGTAGGATTTTTCTCAAAATAGAAGAAAACTGATACTACGTACTGTAAATGGTTTTACAAAGGATTCTAGTACTCAGTAGTACTGTAAAAATATTAAATATTTTTCATTACTTTGGCATTTGAAAACCAATAATCTTATCTATATTTTACCAGTATGTTACACGTAATGGGCGATAATTTGAGGGACTTGTATGATCCCGACCAGGCTTTGGAATACGAACGACAATGGCACTATGCAAGGTGAAGGTAAATTTATGAAAATCAAGATATGGATACGCGTTCTTTGCTTTATGTGAAACACACATTAACTGCGAAGTTCTGATACAATGGTTTTGATACAATGGTTTCTGATACAATGGTTCTTATCAATGGTTTCATAAGCTAGACTGCGATCTCGTATTAGGCCTTCACTGAACTTATAAGGCATGTGTGCCGGACAGCTAATTTCAAATTCATCAAATTTTAAGCTTGGACTCTCTTGGTATATTGCATCAGAACAACTCCGGATAATATCATTTAACATCCTTTACTTCACCAGCTTTACCTTTAAGTCCGTTTTCCTGTACCAATGGTGAAAACGAAGCTGGAGTGCATTTACCCTTAGCTTCATTGACAAGGACCCGAGAACAAGTATACCTTCCCTTTAGGAATATAGTAGTCTTGTCACTCTTCACCACCAGATGAATCTAGTCCAGAATCCGATTCTAAGGGGTACCGACTTGATGTTTTTGTTTCCTATTCCTATGGTTAAATAAAAGGAGGTTCTGTACTATGGAGCGTTTCAGGAGATTCATTAATAAAAGCTAAAGCATACGAGCGTAAACCTACCTCAACCAGTTTCACTGACCATGGCGATGAAAGAGGAGGACTGATTACAAGACGACTTACAATTTCTTTCATGCCATGAGGTAGAATGAAGATACAACGATTGTGGCGTCGTGCGAAAGGTAAAATGGTTATGGCGTCCTTAATAACAAGCGGTGATGTAAGTCTACTGGACATTTACGTAGCAACGCTTTTGATGTAATATTTATGTTATATTTTCTGTGACCTTGTACAGACATTTTACGAAAAGGAAACACATTGCCATTTTCTGGTGACTTGTGTAGTTCTGATTAGATGCTGCAGTTGCTGCTGATGTTATGAGTGCAATGGCTTTTCAATTTTCATTTCGTTGATATGTGTGTGTGGAAGTTGTAAGACATGTTTTGATTTTTTTAGTTACATGAAGATTGATTTCATTAGTTGGATACTAAAGCAATATGTCTATTGTCTCTTAATCAATTTGTTTCATCTTTAAGTAGACATATGTTCCCATTTTCTCTGTTCAGTTTCTAAAATATATGTTTTTGTGGTGCAATTGAGATTTTACAGTGTGTGGTTCTGCTAAGTTTCTAAGTATAGAAAACATCAATGTCAACTTTGATGCCCTCTCCATAATGCTTACTCGTAGTATTAAGAAATACTATACGGGATCCGTTTCCATGTGCAAGTTCTTATTGGTTTTCATCACAGCACTATTCCAGGTTTAACGTAGTGGCCAATGAATAATGGAACATGAGGCTTTCAATGCAATGCAACGATCCACGCTGTCGGATAGGTGAAAACACACTATCATGTTTAGTGGTTCTTAGGATCAGCATGGGGAGAACCTACTCACCTCTTGCTTCTCTAGTGTTGAATTCAAAACAGAAAATAAAAAGCCATTTTTATGACTGAATATACATAAATATGTAAGAAAAAGGTGTATGTCAGTGAGTGAGTGAGTTAATGAAGAAATTAAAACCTTTCTTTCGTGGCATCAGTTATTGCGTTTCCTTTTCCATTTATCGTAAGACATAAAGATAAACAACCCACACTGAAGTAAACCTGCACCGGAAACCATGTATACAAAGGCATCGGCACCAATCATACTCATCATCAGGCCACATATGGCGGGACTGATCAAAAAAGGCAATGTAGTCGGAAAATAGAACCACATTCAGAAATCGGGGTGATCCATCCGTGTTCTCCTGTACCCATGCCAGACATCCAGGGAATAGGGGACCTATTCCGACAGCAAACAGAAGACTGTTTGTCCACATCATGATGATACTTGTGTCCTTAAATATGAGGAACAGAACAGATGTTACTCCGGAAAGCAAAACGAAGAGTACCATCACCATGTCAAGACTTAACCTAGCTGAGAGGACGACACTGCCTAATCTGCTGAGGAGGGCGGTGGCAGAAAACACAGAATACATCATGGACATGTCGCTGAGACCCAGGTTCAGTTGAGTGCAAATTCCAAAGGTTACGAAGAGCTCTTGAAAGGATACATTACAAGTAGAGCAGGTGAAGGTAAAGCACATTGTTAAACACATAAACATGGGACTTGTGCTTCTGTTGACTGCTGGTTTCCTTTTTATTGATGGGGGTACTTCCATAACGTCGCCTTCCTTCAAGATAGTATTGTAACAACCCATTAGGCCTGAGGACACAAGGAGACTTAATCCTGACATGATTATGAAGGGGTATTGTATCGTATTAAAACCGTTGCACCTCTGTTCTGAGTTAGGATGAGTTGTTGTCGTGTTGCAGAACGCTTCGTCCGCACCAATGCCCTGTCGACTGTGCCTGAAGAGATTAGACACAATGGGGACACTTATTGTGTTAAGGGACGCTCCTGATTGTACTAAGGACACGACAAAAGCGTTGTCTGGCCATATGACGAAGCAGTGTAAAGTTCGAACTGAAAGAAAAGAGCAAAAGTGAATAAATTCAAGTAAGTCCAGCAACTGCAGGGTCACGGAAGGTATGATGAAGTCTGAAATCTTAAAACATGTATGGTTACACAGCTGATTGAAGAAAAACTGATATGTATCGACCGATAATGTGCCAGCTCCAGTTGTCTATTATGTGCATAACGAATCTCGATTTATCCTGGACCAAACAGAGACACAAGTGCCTGATGCTGTACGCTTTTCCCATTCCTGAAACGTTTATGGCAGGGATGTCTATCACTGAGTTCCAGCGTTGAATCCGTCTTGCAAGCTTTATGCTGCATATTGCATATATTGCATTTGTTTTCGTTCAAACTTACAAATCATGACTAATCATCTGGTGTTCGATCTAATAATCCCAGGATACAGTGATGAAAAATACTACCAATCGGCGTCGGTGCCAGTATATCAGGAAAGGAATAGGATGATACATTAAAATTGCTACTTACTAAATATACACATTCCTGTACACCAGCCAGCAATGAGGAGCAAGAAGATGGTCAGCCACAAGAACGGAGACGTGGGTACAGCAGCAATAACCACAGCGTTCAATACCAATATTGTCGCCAGGAACAGACAAGTATCCATCTTGTCCTTGATGAAATGTACAGTCAGGCTACTACAGCACAGACCTAAACCATAGGCAAACAGGAGGGAGCTGGATGTCTTCAGGTCCACGCCCAGCAAACATTGGATGTCGGGTAAGGTTACTCCGATCAACGTTGTTGTCATCTGTCATGAAATATTTGATATCAATTAAAAGAAGAAGGCATGTTTCACTTCTCGGCAGGTGAGAGAGTTAAAATGTAATGTAGTATCGGCATGGTTTCACCCACACAGTGAAAAGATCACATTTATGTGTACACAGTAATAAATCATAACTGCAAAGTCATGTCCAAATACAAACCTGTTTTACACATTTGAGAGAGTGAATTAAAATTGCACGTCGGCATCATCAACACACTTGACTGACTGACTATATGAATTGCAACAGATAAAAGCACGGTCTTTAAGCCACCAGCAGGCAAAGGTGGTAAACCTTGCTGGATACCATAGGGACTGGCGCTTAAGAGTTGAAAGGAAAATGAAATGCCACTGTACGTGTTGTTATTTTTAGATAGATAAAATGATATTTAGAACATAAAGTATATTAAGTGCATAATGTTTACAATTATTTCAACCGCCTTACCGTAGCAAAGGCTGCACCAAACAGCACTGACGTGTAGATGATGCGGTTGAGGTTGGAGATATCCCTGCAGGAAATACAGATCCAATAATAATTTTCTTATATTCCACCCATTAGCGTATAAGAATAAGAGGCAGGGCAAAAGTGAGCTATGCACGTTCCCTAACGACATGTACCCATCTATAAACATATATCAATACCTAAATAAATACAATACAGATTCATGATTCAAGGCAGAAGAGTTCTGGCACTGAATGGTGACATACAGATTTTCTGCAAGTAATATGTTTGGGGCAGACAGCGATTCATTTGATTTTAAATCGAACTTATTGAGACAAAAGCATAGTAGTGGTTTCCCCACATAGCTGTAAGCAACTTGTACAGACAACACAGACATCAACATCAATAGGTACCTACCTAAATATATGCGTTTCAAGAGAGTATATTTTGACCAATCATATAAGACACTGCTACTCGTACTCGCTATGCAATACTGTTGGCATCAAATAATCTGATAATGGGCAAGGGTGTGGATATTTTTAGTGATCCCTGCGAATTGTCCATAATAATTTTTTATCCTGCAAAACAAACTCCCACCTCAGACCTTTCAGTTCTTACCTGGCTGTCATTCTTCAAATACAACCCGAGTGCTCGGCAGTGAATCACTAGGAATTATTGATATTAATCAACATTTAGATGAATCCGTCTGTTCACCAGACTGCGTGCTATGTGGTGCATGATATATTAAAATGACAATACACAAGCCAGTAGGAGGGAGTGAGTTTAGTTATATGCCGCTTTTTTTTAGCAATATTCCAGCAATATCACGGCGGGAGACACCAGAAATGGGCTTCACACATTGTGTCCATGTGGGGAATCGAACCCGGGTCATCGGCGTGACGAGCGAACGCTTTAACAACTAGGCTACCCCATCGCCCCCAAACTAGTTGTATCAGACTATATCGTTCACTGAAACTGAATCAGTAGGAAAGGGATTTACTTTTCACATTTAGCTATTTTACAGTTATATCACGGCTATTATAACATAATACTTTGGCTTTACTCCATGGTCCATAGTATGGTCATCTACCTTCAGTTGTTGGCGATCTATAGCTCGTGTTTTATACTGTATTGTCTTCTTTAATTGTAATGTTTTAGCTTTGCTCGCTAGTTTCATATTCATATCTGTGATTCTCTAGTATTTTTACTGTCCATCGTCGACAGGTTTTAATCTTCTAAATGTTTTCACTTTTTATTGTATAATTTGTTTTCGTCACGATATGGCTAAGATATTGCCGATGTGACGTTAAATATTAACTCACTCACTCATTAGCTTTACTCATTTAAACATTTGTTAGGAAGGATAACAATATATGGACGTACAACTTCTTTATTGCTGCGAGAGCGACGTTTCGGTGCAGGGTTCTAACACCGTTATCAAGCAAGTGATGAACAGCATAAGGATGAAGGAGCATATATACAAGTTAGAGCAGATGTTTGTACAGTACAATGGGGATTAGGAAGCCAGACACAATAACAACACAAGGGCTGGAAGCCAGACACAATAACAACACAAGGGCTAGATGTGCTCTTTTTGTAGTGTGTTGGTGGGGTCCTTCTTTAGTCTCTTGTAGGTCGTCTTGTCTTGGAGGATGGTGTCAGTCAGGCTGTTGAAATGGGCTGTGTCCATGATGACCGTTGCCTTGCCTTTGCCTGCTGGGGCTATGGTGATAGTTTTGTCAGTTTTTAGGCTGTGGAGGGATTCCTTTTCCTGATGGATGAGGTTGGGTTTCTGGGGTCTGTCTTTGGAGAGGATGGTTATCTGGTGTCGGAGGAAGTCAACGTTGCCGCCGGGGGCCAGTTGCTGCAGGCCCTTCTCAATATTAGTGATGAAATCATCGTTGTTGCCCGGATGTTTGTGGGTGAGTACTTGAGGCCATTGGCTAAGACTGCAATATGTTGCTGGTTGAGCTTCTTGCTGCTTAGGTTGACGACAGTTTTTCTCTGGTAGTCCGCAATGGAGGAAGGTTTTCATGGTTGATGGGTATCCATCTTTCATTTGTTGAACTTTGCAATGTGGGTCTTTTTCCTGGCAGAGTCTAGGTTGCAGTTACTTGTGGTCTGCATGTTTTTGAGTGAAGCGTAGGTGTCCTCTGAGAGAATTGATTGAAGGTACTTTTGTTTTTCGGCGATGGTGTGTAGGGTGAGGTCCCTGGTCTTACGGTGGTGGCGTATCCTTTCTATGACGAGATGTTGGGAAGCTTTATGGAGGATGTAATGAGCTGCTGGCGAGTTGACTGGGCTTCTTAGCTGTAGTATGACCCTTTGGGTATGAGTTTGTTGTCTCTGCATCGCGTTAGGAATTGTCAGCCACAAAGTCCAGAGACCCCTAAAAAAACAGGTCAATATAGATGTTATTTTCAAAAGAAGTAACATCATCCTCAACACCATCAAAGCGTCTGGCAAGCCACCTACCAGCCAGAAACAACCACCATGGGGAACAGTTTAACACGACTGTGGACAGACCTACTTAGGTGAAACATCAAAACCCCTCAAAATCCGAATCAAAGAACATCAGACCTCAGTATCCAAACTAGACTCAAAATCAGCCCTTTCAGATCACTTCAAAGACAATCCCCACCACAATATCCAGTTGGACAAAACCCAAACCCTAACAACCAACCTCAAAAACTATAAACTCAGGAAACTCCAAGAAGCCATCTACATCAAAAGACTCCAGCCATCAATCAACCGTGACCAAGGTTACTACATACCTCCTGCGTACTACCAGCTCATTAAAGATCCTCATCATCAATAATCCCCCATTTATGTATACAACGCATCATCCTCATAATCACCTATTTATGTATACAGGCTTCACTTCCCATTGTGTACTTTGCAGGCTTCAATTGTTAACGCGTTCATCTAGCCCTTGTGTTGTTATTGTGTCTGGCTTCCAGCCCTTGTGTTGTTATTGTGTCTGGCTTCCTAATCCCCATTGTACTGTACAAACATCTGCTCTAACTTGTATATATGCTCCTCCATCCTTATGCTGTTCATCACTTGCTTGATAACGGTGTTAGAACCTACACCGAAGCGTCGCTCTCGCAGCAATAAAGAAGTTGTACATCCATATATTGTTATCCTTCCTTACTGCTCCAACTTCTAAATGCCTCTCAAAGAAGTTAAACATTTGGTTTTTAAAGAGTTATACATTATACCTGGAAATATGTCTAAACTCCTATAGCTAGTCTATTTGCCAAGTTTATCTCTTCCTGAAAACGTGATGCAAGGTCCATATCTAACGTCCATGTCAAACACAATCCAAATATTACACGCCCACCAAACATGTATCTGGAATAATAATCATTAGTTATTCATATAGCACCTGTTTCCAGTCCACTATGCAACACCAGATGTTACACTTAACACAAATACTAATGTTATAACCATCGTTGTAGAAATGCTACCATTTGTGGCCCATACGAAATTGTCGCAAACTGACCTCGCCCTTTCTTGACTAACAATCCAAGTAGCATGGCCGATTGTTCGTTTATATCTGACTGTTGAATAGCCTGTTGCAAAGCATCTGGCATGACATGTAATGGCCCAGTTGCAGGTAACAAAAAACCCTATCGTGAACGATGAGCACGATGAAGGTGCACCTGGGATAGGTCAAGTGTATAGTCGTGTTAGGTTGGATACCTGCTGTGCAGAATCGATCCCTGATGGTCCGTGCTGACACTCTACTCTACGGCTAGTGGAGGTTGCAGTCACACATCTGTGGCGGCGAACCCGTAACCTGATTTGTAAGTAATCTTGGGGAGACGTCACATACTTCCTTGGCTATCTGCAGCAGTACTTGCCCGATGCCCGCGGGTCCTCAGACGGTGTATTGTCTGATGACTGTCGAATGTCTCTGTGCTTGCATTCCAGTAAGTGAGTGAGTTGAAACTTAAAGTCACATGTGCAGTAGTTCATATCGTGACTAGAGCATTTTTACACACATAATATAAGCCAGTTATCAGAGGACAGTAAAATAACTAGGCTATCACATATGTTGTTTAAAACTGGTATGTAACCATAACATATATGGTCGTGAAAAACAACAAAACATAAACAGGGCTTCAAATTGCCAGCAACTAGAGACCATGAGGACTTACAGTAACTTTGCTACCTTCATGGCCCCAAGCAACATCTACATCATCCGTGCAGCAACTGGCGATTATCAGCAAACACGTAGCCACACGTAAAATAACGAAAACAAAAACAAAACAAAACACACTCAATGATAGACATACCTCTTACGTACCTCTTTCAGGAGGATAGTTATTGTACACTTCTTCAATCCGCGTTAGGTACAGGCACTAATTATCACAACTAATTATTCATTCGACGAAATATATAATTAACTTACAAATAACAATACATGATTAAAAGTTATCAGCTAAATCAATTTCTGTTAAAGAACCCATAATTGTATGGGAACTTGACTTAGAAGATCCTTAAGAATGAAGCTAAATTAGTTATCCCTTCAAACGGAAGAAAAACATATCTCAATACAGTCGACAAAGACATGCTTGCCGGGGATTCTTTCATCACAATGTATGCAAAACGGAGGATCTTCTTCTTTCTTGTGTATGTGGCCGGTACATCGACGATGATGGATCTTCTCAACTGGACTGAAAACCCAAGTAAGTGCGCGCATGCACACACACGCACACGCACACGCACACACACACACACACACACAAATACTTGTATGCCCCAATGTCCGTAAACCGCTCAAAGGCGCTTCATGGCTCTGAGATGGTAATGATATCCCATACAGTTCAAATGCTTCAGTAAAGAGACAAGTCTTTAGATTTAATTGAAAAACAGCTAAATGTGGTTGTGTTCTGAGGTGAGATGGAAGACTGCTTGGGAGATGAGGGCCAGTCGCCTCGAGTGACCTGTCACTCTATGTTTTTGTCCTCATCACAGGAATTGTCAAAAGATACTGATCATTTGATCTGAGGGGACGTGCAGGAATATAACGGTGGAACAGATCACTGAGGTACTCATGGGCTAGACCGTAGATACTTTTGAAAACAAGTAGCAGAGTTTTATATTTGATCCGGTACTACACACGAAGCCAATGAAGTGAGTGACAACGGGAGCAATATTGTATACTGAGTCAAAAAAGAAACATTCTTTCCTAAGGGCACTATAAAAGAACAATAGATGGTAAGATGGTTAAATTGTTATTATTGTATTGCTGAGATCTGTGTGATGTACTCGATACACTGACAGTGCCATAATCAGTTCCATTAGGCTACACCGCCGTTCCAAAACATGGGTAAACAGAACGTCAAGTCACAAGAATAAAAATGCGAAATTTTCAGTTCAATATCGTGTATGGCCGCCCCGCACATTCACCACTGCCAAACACTGTCTCCTCATCGACTGCCTGATGCTTGTGAACACGTGGTTGGGGATTCTGCGCCATTGCTCTTGCAAGGCAGCGCCAAGTTCCTGCAAATTCTGAGGTTGGTTCCTAAGACCACGAAGCCTTCTCCCAAGTGCATCCCAAACGTGCTCTATTGGATTAAGGTCAGGGGACCTCGATGGCCAGTCCATGACGTTGATTCCAGCGTTTTGAAGGAAATTTCGTGTCAACATCGCGGTATGCGGCCTGAATCTGTCGACTTCCTGTACACAACATTGGGCATACCGTTCACGACGTCGTCTCCAGACTCTATGCCTGCCGTCCTCGAATCTGAGGGTAAACCTGGATTCATCGCTA